CTATCAGTGAAAACCCGCTAATAACGGCCTCACAGTTCAATTCTGAGGTGATGAATGTACAATTCGAAACAATGAGCAAATCCTCACGAAAGGAAAATTGGATGAACACCTATACGGACTCATCACCGCAGATGAACAAGTCAAGACAGCCACTCATAATCCACACAACAAATGTATCCATCTATGGCACAGGCACAGGGCACCAAAACCCAGAAGCCATAAATGCCAATATAAAGAGAGGCTTATCAGAAGATACAATTATACTGCCCTGCTAAATGCTCATGACATGCAAATGCTGTATGGAAGCAAAGGCCACATGTACCCTACTTCCACAGGCCACCCAAAGAAAGACCACGCAACCATTGGAGCTCATACACAGCTTTGTGTGTAGACCAATCAAAACTCCCACATCAGGTGGGAACAGATATCTACTGGCTTTCATTGATGATTATTCCAGGTACACAACTACTTATCTGATGAAGCACCAGAAAAACGTCAAGAGTTTGTAGCCATGTCGAGCAACAAATTCCAGCAGAAACCAGGAATTATATGCACGGGCAATGGAGGGGAATACATCAGTAAGGAAGTACAATCATATCTGAAGAAACAAGGTATAGTACACCAGACAACCACACCATACACTCCTGAACAAAATGGTGTAGCGGAACGGAAAAATCACACTCTTATAGAAATGGCAAGATGCATGCTGTCGGATGCAAACCTACCTAAGAAGTACTGGGGAGAAGCAGTCATGACCAACATATCTACAGAACATACTATCAAAAGCCATTGAAAGCACCCCATTTGAATGTGGCATGGATCGAAGCCTAGCCTAGGACACATCAGAGTGTTTGGATGTAAAGCTTACGCATATATTCCAGACGAGAAGCGATCCAAATTGGAGAACACAGCCAATGAAAATATTCTGGTGGGCTATTGTGAACAAAGTAAAGGATATAGAATCCTCCACCCAAAGACTGACAAAGTGACAATAAGCTGCAGTGTTTATTTCAGTGAGAAACAAGGAAACTGAGCAAAGTGAAGCCACACAGGAGTCAGAACAAGAGGTGGAGCTCGCAATGGATAAGCCAAGTTCCATATTAAATTCTGCTGAACAACCCGACATTAGACGATCCACTCGGGTGACAAGGCGAATACCACCCTGCAAGCTGTCAAATACTACTAAGACACATTGCGAAGCCAATCAATGGAGAAAGGCAGCAGAAGAAGAAATTACTGTGGACACACTCACCAAGCCATTGCCAAAGGATTGTCACAGTTTCCTTCGAGAGAAGCTAAATGTCATATAGCAACGCATATGCTGTTGAGAAGTGGTATATTGAGATGTAAAATGTTCTTTGAGCTGTAGATGGCGCTGTAGTGCAATGCTAGTCTTTGTGTGCATGCTTATCTATTATACACAGGAAAATCTCTCCGTATGCTGTATAACTTTATTCAGATAGATAGAAGGATAATAGATAGATAGATAGATAGATAGATAGATAGATAGATAGATAGATAGATAGATAGATAGATAGATAGATAGATTAATTTCATGCATTTTTTCCTCATATTTGGATTTGGAAAGACCATCTTTGTGTTTCTACCTCAGTGTCGAATTGCAGGCTGGGGGCAGGGAGATGTCCAATCAGTATTGCTTAACTGCAGAAGAGAAAAGTCAGGTCACCAGTCTGGCTCCAGTGCCTGGTTAAATTTTACAATTGAAGATTCAGACATTCAAAATCCTTTGGCAGGTAAAATAGCTCCTGTACAGTATATGTATTTGTATTTCAGCTTTGTATTTAGCTGTTTTTCTGGGATTCAGCTTTACACTCCATCGATTATCCGGTTTATGATAGACTACAAATCATACACATATTATTGCATTTTTGTGAGAAAATAAAATTGAAACATTTCATGATCCTGAAAAAAAGAGACAAGGCGTTCCTGGCATTTAATGAATAGACATTTGTGCTAGTAAAACTGTCTACTCTGGGCTGAATCCGAGAACTGAGCAAAATGGATGCAAAACAATATGAAGATTTGTTTGGCAACTAGTGTATAGTCTCCTATTACTAGGCAAAAAATGTCTCCTGTAGAGCTGAGGGTGAGATTAAAGGAGAACTATGGGGTCAGTGTTTTTCCCCATAGTTCTCCTTAGGGTAACGGGAGGACAATTGTCTTATACCTTTTAGTTTCTATAAACTGACATATTTCACCTGATTACTGCTAAATAGGCCAAGATTGAAGCAGTGGGGGGCCTTGGTGGCAGCACCTAGGCAAAAGTCAATTTTTCAAGAGGCGGGTGGAAAATTGTTGGTCAACCAGTGACTGCATCCAATCAGATGTGGTCACTGTTTGGGTATTCAGCAGCCCCAGGTAGGGTTGCTACCCATCCGGGCTTTGAGTCCTGTATGTGCTGTGTCTGGACACAAGATGTCGGGTAGTCAGGCGGACAGGGGCGACCACGGGGTCTTGTTCCAACTTGAGTGTATGGAGGAGGCGCGGGACACAGAGGGATGCTGGAACTCAGGCAGCAAGGGGGGGTCTGAAACAGAGGGTGTAGATACGTTTTGACGGGCACAGGGGTTCTGCTTAAGATAGCTGTGTTGCTTGCTATCTCTCCTCATTCTCTCCCACCTGGCCGTCTCTCCTTGCTCATCCTTCTGGCTAGCTCTCCTTGCTCTCTCCCCTCATTGTCTCTCCTTGCTGTCTCTCCTTACCCTCTCTCCTCTGGCTGTCTCTCCTTGCTCATCCTTCTGGCTGTCCCTCCTCGCTCTCTCACCGGCTGTCTCACCTTGCTCTCCTGGCTGTCTCTCCTCACCCTCTCTCCTGGCTGTCTTTACCAGCTCATCCTTCTGGCTGTCTCTCCTCACTCTCTCTCTCTCCTGGCTCTCTCCTCGCTCTCTGTCCTGGATGTCTCTCCTGGTTCTCTCTCCTGGCTGTCTCTCCTCGCTCTCTCTCCCGGCTGTCTCTTTTTGCTCTCTCCCCTGGCTGTCTCTCCTGGCGGTCTCTCCTCGCTCTCTCTCCCGGCTGTCACTTTTTGCTCTCTCCCCTGGCTGTCTCTCCTGGCTGTCCCTCCTCGCTTTCTCTCCTGGCTGTGTCTCCTCACTCTCTCCTGGCTGTCTCTTCTTATTCTCGCTCCCCTGGCTGTCTCTCCTCACTCATCCTTCTGGCTGTCTTTCCTCGCTCTCTCTCCTGGCTGTCTTTCTTTGCTTTCTCTCCTGGCTGTCCCTCCTCGCTTTCTCTCCTGGCTGTGTCTCCTCACTCTCTCTTGGCTGTCTCTTCTTGCTCTCTCTCCTCTGGCTGTCTCTCCTCGCTCTCTCTCCTGGCTGTGTCTCCTCACTCTCTCCTGGCTGTCTCTTCTTGCTCTCGCTCCCCTGGCTGTCTCTCCTCACCTCATCCTTCTGGCTGTCTTTCCTTGCTCTCTCTCCTGGCTGTCTCTCCTCGCTCTCTCTCCAGGCTGTCTCTCCTCGCTCTCTCTCCAGGCTGTCTCTCCTCGCTCTCTCTCCTGGCTGTCTCTCCTCGCTCTCTCTCCTGGCTGTCTCTCCTCGCTCTCTCTCCTGGCTGTCTCTCCTCGCTCTCTCTCCTGGCTGTCTCTCCTCGCTCTCTCTCCTGGCTGTCTATCCTCGCTCTCTCTCTCCTGGCTGTCTCTCCTCGCTCTCTTTCCTGGCTGTCTCTCCTCGCTCTCTTTCCTGGCTGTCTCTCCTCGCTCTCTTTCCTGGCTCTCAAATACCTTTTCTACTAAGCTCATGGCTTGTGGCTATGGAGAGGAGAGTGCATAGCCAAACAAATCTCTCCAGGACTAGTCCTGGTCCAAGACCAGGCGCGTCCCTAGCCAGTTCATCACCTGGGGGAGGTTACCTCTGCATCATTTCCCAGCTCTTGGCAACCAGTGATGTCACTGATCACGAGGAGCTGGGAGGACGCTGGCCAAAGCTTTCCGCTCAGCTCCTGGCAACCAGTGACATCTCTGGTCGCCAGGAGCTGGGCAGGACGCTGGCCACAGCTGGAGCTAGAGTTGGGCAGGGAAATGATGCAGAGGTAACCTCCCCCAGGCGATGAAAAGGCTAGGGATACCCCTAGTCCTGGACCAGGACTAGTCCTGGAGAGATTTGTTTGGCTATGCACTCTCCTCTCCATAGCCACAGCTTAGTAGAAAAGGTACTTGAGAGCCAGGAAAGAGAGCGAGAGACAGCCAAGATAGAGAGCGGAAAGACAGCCAGGAGAGAGAGCGAGTGCATAGGTAACCTGCCCCCCACGCACCCAGTTAGTACCAGCACCAGATTGCCTTTTACACCTTATACAAAATTGATAAAAATCTGGTTGCTATCGGTTACCACTTAGGCCTTCTGTGTGTTTTCACTGCCCCTCAACCACCCACCTAAAAGCTAACATGACAGCTGCTCAGGTTTGTGCACATGCTGAGGCCATAATGCTTTGTGGCATGACAAATTCTATACAGCACATCGCATTTTGCCTGCGCCGCAACAGCATGCCGACCACTTGGCACATGGTTGCAGCACAGTATGTGTGAATGGGCCTTTAGGATATAGCGCAGTTCATTTCATTTCATTTCATTACAGGGCGGGGGAAGTATGGAAAACTCCTGAACACTGAGTATTTCATATCAATAACAATTTTATATTGAAATATTTTTGGCTGTATGTTTTTGCACTTTTCTATTTATGACGTTACTAAGTGAGCCGAAGATTGTAACACAATGTGCTATTCTATAGGCGCTCATTGCCACTTCTTATACACTTTGTGCTCCACTGAAACTTCTTCTGTCAGTGCCAGGGCAGTACATAACTTCCTGACATCTATTCATCTGGAAGGATTGTAAACTTATGTAAAGAGAGGCTTAGTTTATAAAAATATTGTATCTCCTGAGTCCTAATCCTTCCATTCATTGACAATAATGCATTCTGGGCAATGTACCCCAGGGGTGTGTCCTAAAGACTATAAAAACTCTTCGCTATAGTTAGGGTGTCATATACTACTGGAAGGGAGGTCAGTGCAGGAGTTGGACCATGGCAGAAGGTACTGTAACCAGGAATGTGTTTGTGTTTGTGTGTGCTGATGTCTATAAAGTTTCTATAAAACTTTCAAAACTCCCCATGATATAAACATGCATGATCATGCTATATACATAATAAGTTCTATATACATATATATGCTACGTATATCTTATATGCTATGTACAAGATATGTTCTATATACATAATATAGACAATATACACAATATATTCCATATACATAATATATGCTATATGCACGATATGTTCCATATACATCATATATGCTATATACACGATGTGTTCTATAGACACAATATATGTTGTATGCAAGATATGTTCTCTATACATAATATAGGTAATGTACACAATATGTTCTATATACATAATAAATGTTATATACACAATATGTTTTATAAACATAATATAGACAATATACACAATATGTTTTATATACATAATATAGACAATATACACAATATGTTCTATATACATAATATAGACAATATACACAATATGTTCTATATACATAATATAGACAATATACACGATATGTTTCATAAACATAATATAGACAATATACACAATATGTTTTATATACATAATATGCAGAATATGTTCCATATGCATATATATGCAATATACATGGCATATTCTATACACATAGTATTTTATACGGACACAATATGTTTTATAAACATAACATTTGATATATAAACATTATATGCTATGCACACAATATGTTCTGCATGCATTTTATATATATAATATATATTATATACACAAAAGTTTCTCTCTGTATATATAACATGCTGTATGCTATACACACGATATGTTCTATATACATCATATAAGCTATATATCATACATCAGTAGTAGATAGTACAGCTGTCCACTCTCCTGCCGCTCTTTTCTTTTAGCTCTGACGTATAGATCTGTATATTAAAATATCATATTTGTCTGTGCCATAGTTTTCGATGTTGCTTCTAACTTTCCATGAGCTGCACTGCTGAAGTACCCAGTAAAAGCAGCGTAACCTTTCAAATGGAAACATTGTAGAATTTGGTTGCTATGCAACAAAATTATTTGTTTCTATTTATTTTTGCTTTTTTTTGTTTAACAATATGCACATGTCTTCTGATGGTGAGCAGCATAGGTGTCTGTAAAGACATGTTTATTCTGTGAAGCTTTGCAATTTTTTTTTTTCGCCTGAGAGCGTAGCGGTCAGAGTGTGGGACGGGGGAGTTTCTCTCTTTCCTATTACGGAAAGCTGGAAGGTACAGTATTAGCACATATACACTTTGTTTTTTGTATACTCCTGATGGTTTTTCTGTCTAAATTCTAGAGAATTAGGGAGATTTCATGGACAGCAATTTGATTGGATGATTCTTTAAACCAGTGATGATCAACTTACTTGATATATGGAGTCTCAAGTGCAGCCCCTGACATAACTGAGGGGCTGCATGTGATATTCAGTAAATGTAAAGCTACAGAAAGCTGTCAGAGACTGAAGACATTATACAGGAGATGTTTAAAGACTGAGGACAAGCTTCAGGAGATGGTCAGAAATTGGGGACATGCTTCAGGAGATGGTCAGAGACTAGGGACAAGCTTCAGGAGATGGCCAGAGACTGGGGACACATTTTAGGAGAAGGTCATTGACTGGGGACAAGCTTCGGGAGAAGGTCCTTGACTGGGGACATGCTTCAGGAGAAGGTCATTGACATGTTTAAGGAGATGGCCAGAGACTGGGGACAAGCTTCAGGAGATGGCCAGAGACTGGGGACAAGCTTCAGGAGATGGCCAGAGACTGGGGACAAGCTTTAGGAGATGGCCAGAGACTGGGGACAAGCTTCAGGAGATGGCCAGAGACTGGGGACAAGCTTCAGGAGATGGCCAGAGACTGGGGATAAGCTTCAGGAGATGGCCAGAGACTGGGGGACAAGCTTCAGGAGATGGTCAGAGGCTGGGAACAAGCTTCACTAGATGACTATAGACTGGGGACACGTTTTAGGAGATGTTTAGAGACTAGGGACATGCTTCAGAAGAAGGTAATTGATTGGCGACATGCTCCAGGAGAAGGTCATTGACTAGGGACATGCTTCAGGAGATGGTCCGAGACTAGGGACAAGATTCAGAAGATGCTCAGGGACTGTGGACAAGCTTCAAGACATGGTCAGAGAATGGGGCCATACTTCAGGAGATGGTCAGAGCCTGGGGACATGCTTCAGGAAACAGTCATAGCTTGGATCCATGATATCACCAGCATGCCATGTTCAGATGAGAAGACAGGACACTTTTTCACCGGAGACTTTGTGTTTGTGACAATAAAGTGTCCTGTCTTCTCATCTTAACATGGTGTGCTGGTGATATCTTGGATTAGGATTTATGTTAAGGTAGTGACATCCACCATTTCACCATAGCACTCTTCTATGGTTGAATCTGAATGCTGCATGGAGTGTGCTGGATCTCTTGGATTTATAGTCATAGACTGGAGACACATCATATGAGACTTCTAGAGATCGATGCTATTACTGTCCCTATACAAATGCTTCCACATCTGTGCTCCCTACAGCCCTCTTAAGAATGACCAGTAGCACATCTGATATATATCTTAGAAAGACCCTTTGTAAAAATAATCAGAGGGAAAAAACATAAAATGACAAAAGAGATGGACCAAACCATTAAGCAACTAGAAGCCAGACGTCTAATGAAAATGTTCCTTTACTAGCTTGAGTAAGCATCAAAACAAAGGCTGCTATGTTCCGGAGCCCGAAGTGCCACATAATAAGTACCAAAAGGCCAAATGAGGCATTGCAAGGCTCTGACAGACACAGGCATGGCTCTTCAGGTCGCTATGACCGATGCCTACAAAGCATTCACAGAGATAATGAGATTTCCAGCATAGTAAACAATGTTAATGATCTGTCCCATGCCCGTTGTCCCATATCCTGTACTGTCTGTGATTATTTCAAGAATTTTTGGATTCCTTAGAATTGCTTGTGATTTATGGCCTTGTTAGCCACAGACATGAGATAGCACTTGGAAGACCTGAAGACTGCAGATTTTACTGTTAAGTGACTGCTGCATGATAAATGGAGGCTGGGTTTGGTCAAGTAAGCATGTTGATGCATAGATACCTAGGATGCTGGTGGATCATATTTGTTATTGGGACCAGTTGGCCTTGGTGTGTACCCAGTACTCACCCTTCTTTCCATACACATACGGTCTTTACCCTACGAAGTCATAGAGTATACTGCAGCACCCCTATGTGCCCCTGTGTTACAGTGTGTCTCTAACACTGATGCACCACTAACATTTAACCTTCCCCTTACCCAACCCCCTAACACTTAAAACTGAACTCCATGTACAAATACTTTCATTTAAATATATTCCTTAATAGCCACAGAGGCTATAAATCCACTTTTCGTGCAACAAATCCCTTTGTAAATCCAGTTATTGCCTTGCAACAGTAGCTGTGACATCACCACTGTGCTGTACACAGTCTGTGCAGAGAGCAGAGTTGTGGGAGCGATCGTGCAGGCTCCACCCACGACAGACTGCCTGTAGAAAACTACAATAAGGAGGTGGAGACAAGACCAGCCATCCTGCACAAAGAGAGAGAGGGACCGGTCTTTCTTATAGGTCTTTATTACTGCACAGAGGTAAAGTTTCATACTGGATAACTGCACAGATCTGGAAGATCAGAGTCGTGCAGTGCCTCATGCGAGTTGTAGTTCCACAACAGCTGGATTTAGACAATATTAGCTTATTCAGAAGTTCAACCCCATCCCTCCGATCCCTATCACCAACTTAATCTAAACCCCAAACATACCCCTGTTATTAAACTAACCTCTAGTTCTGCATGAGCACCTCGCCCTGTACCCAGAGCTGCAGTGCCAAAAGACTTGTGCTGAGAGCTCCGTGCTGAAGGATACTGACACTGTCAGCGCTGAAACCTAAAATCACTGCTCATCTCTGTCAGCAACCTTACACATTGCTGTCCTCAATAGCAGTGATCTGGTACCGTACAAGTGATGATGTGCTATTACAACTGTGCAAACAGCAAAGCTGACACTCCAGCTAATTGGAGGTCTCTGACTCTGATTCAGCAGGGAATATTTTGGACCCCTGCAGAGAGACTGCTGCTTCCACACAGAGTACAACGGTCCTTCTCTACAGGATGCTGGCAGGGGACGGGCTTTTCTACTCAGGCTGTGGCTGCTTTCTAAAGAAGACCAACCGTTAGGGTGGGTTCACACAATGTGTGTTAGGTCTGCACTGGAAACAACAGGCAACGCAAGACAAGGCGATTTGCAACATGATCGGCAGATTGGCACTGTGTTGGGGACCGCACACCAGCCACTGTGCGTTTTGTGCAGTGGCTGGTGTAAATTGGCCCTAAGACTTTGCTTATGGTATAAGTAGAATGCAGTTAGCTGATTTAAACAGCGTTTAATTAAGCTTGAAAGCAGGCATGCTTTAGGCCTCATTCACACGAGAATAAGTCGGCACGTACAGCTCCGTGCTGCGTGCACGGCCATATCAGGCAGCTCCCGGGAAGGACAGGTGCTACGTATGATTGGTACGCAGCCCCGGTCCTTCTCTATGGGAGTACGCGGCCATACGCAGCCCTACGCTCACCCGCCCTGCACATCCGTGAGGGTGCAGTTGTCCGTACTTGTACGCCGACAGGATGGTGTAATGTGTATGGCGACCCTTAGAGGTAGTCCCTTACCCCCTTAAAAGGTACAGCAACACATCAATACCCAGACTCAGATTTGTCTTGCCATCCTGACGCCAGAAGGGAACAGAATATTTATTTGGCAGTTTATAGCCCAATAGATATAAGCTTCAGACACTCCTGCCGCCATTTTCAAGATTGTCTGATGACTGCGGCTCCCTCCTCGGAACCCAAGAACAGTAATGTGATATATTGCATCTTGCCATTACTTAGATGAAGCGGCTCCATTTGTTTTCTTTTTCCAGGAACATTTGGAGTATGGAAAATCCCTGTTGATTTTA